CGCGGAAGTATACTGGATAAGGTAACCATAACCGTTGTACCACACAGAGACGATGGCAAAATAAGTACGCCAGAAAAAGTAGTACTGTGTTTTTTTCGCAAAATCACTTCCTAACTAACATGCTTGTTGCTTGATTGTACTTTCATATTTTCGGGGGACGACTTTGATATGTTACGCCATCATTTTTCATGGCATATGTTCGGGCCCAACGTGGTAATATGTTCAGACGTAATAGGTGGTTGTACTGTAAGTAGTACAGTGATGTTTCTATAAAATTTCAGAACTAGCAAACACCTGGATAACACTCTAGGATATCCGCATGTTGTAAGTATTTATTCATTTTTTTCTCTTGAAAAAAAAAAGTACTTTTGGGTCATTTCTCAGTCGTTTTAGTCAGCGGTTTCCTTAACTCTTCCTATTGCTTTTTATCACAAACTCTGTTTTGTCTTTCAACATACACACCGTGTGGTTTGATATTCTTTTTCGTTATCGTGCCGTGTGATATATGTTCGATATAAAGAATTTTAGTGAATACGATAATTATTATATAGGACTAGGTTTCTATTACGGAAAGCGCCCGTTTTATTTGGTAAACCGATGCGATTTTATGGAATTTTTATTATCATATCGTTTTCCGCATTTTCATTGGAATTTGACCTACGATTATGTGTTCGTGTTTGGTTTTTATTTTCTCAGTCGGTTATTTTGTTGTCTTTAAGGAATTATTAACCATTATAATATGTACATAACTAGTAATTGTTCGCATTTTAGAGCCTTTTACACGTTGTAGATATCAAAATATACGTAAGTTTTTTCAGTTAGCAGAAGTTGAAATGTCTCATACAGCTACACGTGTTGCATGTTACGTAAAATCTGATTGGCAAGTATCGATATTAAAAGAAATATTGATTCTAAATAAAAATTAAATCCAATTTCTTTTTATTTACTTACTAAAAATCTAGAGTCTTAAGTATGTAAAACTTAATCTAGCAAAAAGTTGCTCATATGAATCGGTCTGATGTATTGTGAGGATACGGGGCAATGTCAACTGGTTTTTTAAAAAAATCAAATGAAAATTATGAAGAAAAATTTATTAAATTATTATCTGAAAATAATATTTTGTTTAAGTAGTTCGTAACATCAAATCGTTTAGTCTTTATTAAAGAAAAAAAATAATAGTACCGAATAACAATTAACGGTTTATCGGGAATATAACCTTTTCGTCAGTCACCTTTTATGAGGGTCTTTGAATCTAATTGCTACCAGTTGCCACCAGTAGACTCTATATGTATATATGGGAAACTGTGTATGTGTGCGCGTGTGTGAATGAATAGATGCATCTGTTTATTTTTACCAACTTGAAAGGAGAATTATTTTACAAGAAAGAATAAGCAGAAATATACGTCCGTATAGGTATCATTATTTTGCGGTTAAAGGAATAGCGTTTTTTTTTTTTGTTTTTGTTTTTTTGTATTTTTGTTTTTTAATGAAATGAAGCACGTCGTTCAGTGACAATCAAAAAAGAAAGGTATCGGTCAAAAATTTAAGAAAAGAAAGAAATTTAAAACTTTAAGATGAAGAAAATCATTTTTCTTCTTCCCCTTCTCTGTCACATATATATATACCTTATTTTTTATATCGTTCTCTGTTTTTGGTTTTTTTTTTTCACACATTCCATTTCTTTCCTTAAATCGTTTTATCTCCATATTGTTAGGCTTTCAAATTGTTGTTGGTTAATTTATATCGTTAAGTTTCGCGGTTCGTTGTATTATTTCTCGTGTAAACTTGTTCGATACTTCGATGGGGAAAATTTATTTGACAATATGTACAGACGAGATAAAAATCCCAAATATCGCCATTTTGCTGCCAACTTTTTAATTCTTTATAGCGACCCTTTCGATTCAAATGCTTAGTGTTCACGCTTGTCTGCTCTCTAATAACGTGTTTATTGCTCACGGGGGGTTGCGATTAAGTACGATTAAAGGATTTGGATAGGTAAATTATTAGATTAACCAGTGAGATCAACGAGAAAAGAAAAAAGAAATACCAATGATAAAAATACAGAAGCATTTCATTTATCCCCTAAATTGCGATATATACCTTGTGTTTTATCTGTCATAAGAAGAAATACAATATTTTAAAAGTTTTCTTCTTTCATAGCCCATTTTGTTTAATTTCTACAGTGTCTTATATATATATATATATATATATATATATATATATATATATATATATATATATATATATATATAATATTTAAAGCAATTAGTGATTTATAATGTGCAACACGCTCTTAATGTGTTCAATATGGGACGGTGAGGAAACATATTTTTCGGTGGGAGGGCTTCTTGGTCAAGCCTAGAACTTTTCTCCATGCCTCTTTATATATATATATATATATATATATATATGTGTGTGTGTGTGTGTGTGTGTGTGTATAAATTGAAGGATCGTTAGTCAGGTTCAATCTCATATATATGTGTGTGTGTGTGTGTATAAATTGAAGGATCGTTAGTCAGGTTCAATCTCATATATATGTGTGTGTGTGTGTGTGTATAAATTGAAGGATCGTTAGTCAGGTTCAATCTCATATATATATATATATATATATATGTGTGTGTGTGTGTGTAAACACGCCACAGATAAGTGAATGTGCTTGACAGTATATATATAAGTATAGAAATATATGTGGTTATGAGGACATTTACACAGATAAGATTACGATTTTTCAGATATATGTATTTCTCTCTATGAGTGTGTGTGTGTATATATATATATATATATATATAGAGAGAGAGAGAGAAAGAGAAAGATATCTCTCTATATATATATATCTGTGTGTGTGTAAGTGTAACACCGAAATCAATAGGTATGAATGTATTTAAATATATCTTGAAGGGTGTATCTATTTAAAATTTCAGATTTGGTCATAATACGTATCATTACATATGCCCATGAGCCTAAAAAAATCCTCTTCAGTACATATGTGTAGTTATGTACATAGAATCCCATATATATATATATATATATATATATATATATATATATATATATATATATATATATATATATAGTTGTGTGTGTCAGATTCATAAATATGTATTTTGATAGAAATTGTTATGGTAAGTCCTCCAGTCTCGCTGAGGACATCAGTTACAAGTTTTCGCCATTTGACTAGGGTTTAAGTAGACTAGGGTCTCTTTCTGTGAGTCTCAGGGGTCTTCTGGGTTGTCCATGTCGTGATCTCCAACTGGATATTAGCCAATGAACTAGCAAGACTGGATTATATATATAATGTATAGATAGGTGTCTGAGTGATTATGTGTCTGTGTATATATTCGTAGCTATATCGAAGAGATGTTCATTTTGCTTGGTTTAAAATATAACAACCATGATTAGCATGCTGGTCCGAATACCTAAAAAGTGAGTAATAATTCCCCATTTCAAAAGTTCTTACAAATAATATTTTGCCATATCGAATAGGGTGGATTTTTCCTCTGTTAACAACTAACAAGTCGTTAGAAAGTTAAGAAATCCTATCGTTTTTTTTTTCTTTTTTTCTTTTTTTGTTGTTTTTTTTGGGGGGTCGGGGTTGTAAGAAGTTGCCCTCAAAATTGAAAAAAAAAACAACTAAAAACTACTTACATATAAAATATATCAAGAAATCCCTAAATACGTACTTCGGCACTAGTTAGGCCAGTAACTGTATAGTCTGAGATATTAGCTGAAAGTTTAGCTGAAGTTTATCACTGGTTGATTAACGTCCCCTCCTGCATTGAGAAGGAAGGAAATTATGCTGAAAAATAAATCTTTTTGGTTGTGTTCAATATCTGTTTTTATCATCATTTATTGATATAAATACGAATGTGAGGGGTTTTGGCAGAAGAGAGATTAGGAGAGATAGTAAAAAGATAAACTTTATTAAGAGGTACAAGAGGCTAGAAACTGGGAAGAGCCATGATCGGCCACGCCCTGAAGAAGTATATCTATATGTGTTCGAGATTATATGTATCGCAATATTTATATTGCTATATATGTTGCATAATGAGTGTGCATATAAGTAATAACATGTACAAATGTCAGTTTAAACTCTTGCATATGTGTACCTATGACTGTATGTATGGTAAATTAAATATATATATATATATGTGTGTGTGTGTGTATGAATTATGACGAAATATAGTTTTAAGGTGTGCTATATTCATAGGATAATGTGCTCAATATCAGAGATAGAGCGTATATAAATATAAATATAAAAGTGAACATTGAAGTCAACACTCAGAGGCGACGACGATTCCGTCTAGCATGAAAACAGCCTGTCGCCTCTGAGTGTTGACTTCAATGTTCACTTTATATTTATATTTATATATATGAATTGTGAAGTTCAACTAAATTAAAAAAATAACCTTAAATCGTTTATCTCATATATTCGCAAAGTCAGTTTTATAAGTAATAATAAAATAGAAAATAACGCCATTTTTATTGTATAATTAAGAATCGTTTAAAAAAATAATTCTCCTTAGGTCCGAACTCGAAACTTTTATAAAATCAGATTTCAGGGTTTATATAAGATATAGAAATTTATAGAAATTTGCGTTGATTACTTTCTTTTGAAATTTAAAAGTCTCTTATAAAAAAGACTGTATAAATAAGATCCTTACAAGGATCTATAGAAAATATTCAATTCCATAAAGAAAATTCAATTTAGTATTTAATATAATTCTTGACACCTTAAAATGTCATCGTTAATCTAAAAAATAACTGCAGTGTGGTTATATTAAATAAAACAAAACATGCGTAAAATCTAGAATGTATTATAGTTAGAGGATAAAAGGTAATTTCTGCCCCAAATTGTGACAAGAATATCCAACTTTTGAAACTTAAAATAATGACAATTTAAATATTAAGGGTGAAAAATGTTCTAAAAAGCTTCCACTGAGAAAGACGGGTGTACAAAACGTTAGGAAAGAGCGAAAAGAAGGAAAGGATTTAGGGGGAAATTAAAATAGGGATAGAATGAATTTGAAAGACTGAAATAAACATGGGGATAAAAAAAAAAGGAATATATGGAAAGAAAGAATTTGAAAAGAATGAAAAATATGGAAAGAAGTAAAATTCGGTGAGAAGGAATTTGAAAAAAATGAAAAATAAAGAAAGAATGAAAAAATTTGGAGAGAAGAGATTTGAAAAAATGAAAAATATAGAAGGATAAAGAATTGGGCGAGAAGGGATTTGAAAAATGAAAAAAGCAGGAAGAATGAAAAATTGGGAGATATGGGATGTAACAAAATGAAGGAATGAAAAGTAGAGAAAAAATGAAAATAGGAAAAAAAGGAATTAGGAAAATGAAAGAATGAAAAATATGGGACGAGGGCAAATACGGAAAGAAAAATTTTGAAAAATGAAATAATGAATGAAAAAATGAGGAAGGAAAAGTGATAAAATGGAAAGAGATTTAAAAAATATGAAAAAATGGGAGTGAAGAGAACCGAAAAAATGAAAAATATAGAAAGAATGAAAAATTTGGAAAGAAGGGATTTGAAAAATAAAGAAAGAATGAAAATTGTGAAAGAAGGGATTTGAAAAAATGAAAAATAAAGAAAGAATGAAAAAATTTGGAGAGAAGAGATTTGAAAAATAAAGAAAGAATGAAAATTGTGAAAGAAGTGATTTGAAAAAATGAAAGAATGAAAAATACAGAAAAATGAAAATAGGAGAAAAAGGAATTTGAAAAAATGAAAGAATGAAAAATATGGGACGAGGGCAAATACGGAAAGAAAAATTTTGAAAAATGAAATAATGAATGAAAAAATGAGGAAGGAAAAGTGATAAAATGGAAAGAGATTTAGAAAATTAAAAAAATAAAGAATAAAAAATTGGGAGTGAAGGGATTCGAAAAAATGAAAAATAAAGAATGAAAAATTGGGAGAGAATATATTTGAAAAATGAAAAAAACAGAAAGAATAAAAAATTAAGAAAGATGGCATATGACAAAATGAAAGAATGAAAAATACAGAAAAATGAAAATAAGAAAAGAAGGAATTTGAAAAAATGAAAAATGAAAGAATGTAAAATATGGGACGAGGGCAAATACGAAAAGAAGAATTTTGAAAAATGAAATAATGAATGAAAAAATGAGGAAGGAAAATTGATAAAATGGGACGAGATTTAGAAAATTAAAGAAATAAAGAATAAAAAATTGGGAGTGTAGGGATTCGAAAAAATGAGAGAATATATTTGAAAAATGAAAAAACAGAAAGAATAAAAAATTAAGAAAGATGGCATATGACAAAATGAAAGAATGAAAAATACAGAAACAATGAAAATAGGAAAAGAAGGAATTTGAAAAAATGAAAGAATGAAACATATGGGACGAGAGAAAATGCGGAAAGAAGAATTTTGAATAATGAAATAATGAAAAAGTGAGGAAGGAAAAGTGGTAATATGGAAAGAGATTTAGAAAATTAAAGAAAAAAGTGAAAAGTGAAAAAAGAAAGAAGTCGAGAAATGCAAATATAAAGAGGAAAGTGATTTTTAAAATTAAAGAAAGGAAACTAGAGAAGAAATTTTAAAGAATGAAAGAAAGAAAAACGAGGTAAAAAAAGGGAAAGAAGAAAAATGGGTAGAGAATGAAACTAAAAAAAATGAAAAATGAAATAAAGAAAAGTATTGAAAAAGGAATACAAAGAAAATATGGGGTGTAGGAATTTGAAAAAATGAAAGATATAAGAAAGAAAATACCGAGAGAAGAAATTTAAAGAAAAACAATTTTCAAATGTCTTTTCTCGCTATGAAGAAATAAAAAAGTATGAAAGAAAAGTAAGAAGGAAAAATATGGATGATATAAAATTGCAAAATGAAGAAAAGGAAAGAAAGAAAAATAGAAAGAAAGACATTTGAAAAAGAATGAAATAAAGAAATAAAAAATAGATAATAAAATTAAAGAACGAAAAAAGCAAGAACGAAGAAATAAAATAAATAAGGTTGAAATGGATTTTAAGTGAAAGAATGAAAAAATTTAAATTGTAAAAAATGAAAAAAATAGAAAAAACTTATTTAATAGGTTTACGAAAAATGAACACTGAAGGAAGGAATTTTTTTAAAAAGTAGAAAGGGTCAAAAATAGAATTAAAAAATAATGAGAAAAGAAAAAAAAAGAAAACCTTTTCCAGTTTTCTGTAGATTATCGAATATGCAAAGAAATGTATATAAACAAAAAAATATTCGTTTGTTCAACACTAGCTGTTGATTTGGGATAGAGAACGTGGCTCGTCTGTTAAAGATGTTAGTTCCCTTATGAAAGGGCTCGGGTTCGAGCGCGGAAGCAATCTTCAAGATCTAATATATATTTCGAATTTTAAAGCTACAATCATTAATATTCTTCTTGTAAAATATCGACTAAAGAAAAGATATAACATTTGCTGCAATCTTTGATTAGAAATGGTATATAAAAAGGTTTTATTACAAGTAATGAATAAAAAGGTTTATATTAAAAAAGGTTTCGCTTATATAATTTTCAAGAAGGCTTTTGAAAAGGTAATAAATTATAGGATAATAAAATTATTTATAAACTTTCAGACGACCCATGTAAAGAATTGAATAAAATGAGCAGTTGGTTTTGCATTTTTTTTTTTTTTTCAAAATTAATCCTTTCGCTTTTTTTTTTTTTTTTTTTCCCCTTTTCTTTTCTGTCAAAACCCAAAAGAAAACGCCGGTTCATTCCAAAACATGTGAGATTTTGGAAGCTTTCGAAAATACATAAATTCTTTTATTCTTACCAATTTTAATGTTGATTCCTTTTTTTGTTTTCTGTTTTCACATATTTTTAATTGTTTAATTTGTTCAGGTGATTATTGTAAATACTTGTCTACTGAGTGTCCACAGTTCATACAAATCTGCCAAAAGATCCCAAAATTAAACCGCTTTAAAACAAAACAAAAAAAAACTCCGTAATATTTACTTGTAGCCGTTTATTTACAAAGTTGAATCTATATACAGAAATGTAATTAAGTTTCTATTACTCTTAATATAAACAGAAGAAAAATCTACAAAATGCATAGACTTTATATATAAACGTATTTGCATAGAAATATTTATTTTGGCTACAAAAATCCCTTGAAGTGGGGGGCTGAAAAGTTCTGTCCGACCCACTTTCTGAAAGATGACCAAATGACTAAAAATCTATTTTTTTTTTACATTCTTATTCCAACTACGAATTTTTTTTCACCCCTTATATATAAGTACTTATGTAGATAGGTAGATATGTAGATAATTATGATTATTCGCACAAAAGGTAGAATAATGGTTAGTTTATGTAAATTCAGAATAAGTAAATTATTAAGTATATCCGCGTATATTTATATCCTCTATCCCTTACAGCAATAAACATTTTTTACTTTAATGGGCATATTACAAATGATGTTATATATATATATATTATGTGTGTGCATATATGTATATATATATATATATATATATATATATATA